TTTACATTCATACTCACAATCAGGAAACATATACAATTCATACCTTTTCTTTTTACTGTTGTGTCACCTTATGTCTATAATGCATTTTAAAAATATCTCCCAAATTATAAGACAGTCCTTACATCACTAAAACTAACCCATAAATGAAATGCTGAAAATGAAGTTATGCATCAATTATAAACATTTAATTTACACTGACAAGAGAAAGATAATCCCTTACTTCATGATAAGTACTCGATAACACTTGTACTTAATCATGAAGAAAGGGATTATCATTCTCTTACATATTTGAAGAAATCTGTTCATTGAGGCATAACTGAGTGGAATTTACCTGATCATCACATCTTTCAATTAACATGAACAATAGATTGTATATTCAGTCAGTTTAGCAGTAAACTAGACATGTGCATATTACATTAAGTACAACAATTGGTGCATCAAATGTTGCAGGTTACTGCCATAATAAGTAGAAAATGCACATTTGCCATGTTTTGCTTTTAATCCGTCTAATAATAATAATAATAATCCTGTATCTTGGCATTGCACTGTTTATGGCGTCTTTACACTAAATCCATTGGATGCTGGATGTAAACTGATTGAAAATTTAGTCTTAGATGCATTGTTTTTTTTTATTAGTTGTTATTGGCTTTGAACAAGCTGTCAGTAACTGCAAGTACTCTCAGATCTGTACTTAATGTTTTTTTGTTGTTGGGATGTATAAGTACCCGTCCACGTCAACAATGTGTTTTTGTTAGATGTTTTACTATTTGTATCCATCTGATGAGTTAAGCCTTTTTCAACTGATTTTTATTGTTTGTTCTTATGTTTTACTGTTACACCACTGTCCCAGGTTAGGAGAGGGTTGGCTCCTTCGAACTAGTTTAACCCCGCCACATTCTGTATGTGCCTGTCTCAAGTCCGGAGCCTGTAATTCAGTGGTTATCGTTTGTTGCTGTGTTACATATTTGTTTTTTTCGTTCATTATTTTGTATATATAAATAAGGCCATTAGTTTACTTGTTTGAATTGTTTTACATTTGTCAATTCGGGGCCTTTTATAGCTGACTATGCGGTATGGGCTTTGCTCATTGTTGGAGGCGTAACAGTTGTTAGTTAATAACTAATAGTTGTTAATTTCTGTGTCATTTGGACTCTTGTGGAGAGTTGTCTCATTGGCAATCATACCACATCTTCTTTTTTATATAAACTATTATATCCCTTTATCGAGGGATAATTACCCTTCTTTAAAAGGGTATTCCTCTATACAGGTATAAACACCATATAGACGGTTAGTTCCTAACCTTTCCACCAGAGACCAAATGACATAGAAGTTAACAACTATAGGTTGCTGTAAGGCCTTCAACAATGAGCAAAACCCATACTGCATAGTCAGATATGAAAGGCCTCGAAATGACAAATGCAAATCAATTCAAATGAGAAAACAGCCTGATTGAAGTACAAAACCATGAAAGAAAAAACAAAATGCTATACAGCAAAAACCAACTGCTACTGAATTATAGGCTCCTGACGTAGGACAGGCACAAACAGAATGTGGCAGAGTTAAGCTAGTTTGAAGGTGCCAACCCTCCTCCTAACCTGGGACAGTGTTATACAGTACAACATAGGAACAAGATATAAAAATCAGTTGAAAAGGGCTCAATTCATCAGTTTACAAAAAAAAAAATATCTGTTTATGATAAAAATTCAAATTTAACCCATTTGATCATTTATAGAACTATTCTTATTTCTATTTATTTCTATGCCGTGTTATTTCCAATCGATTTACACAAAATAGCATTCATACCGGTCTACTAGTCCTATAATATAAGACTTTGTATAGGTTCATATCGTTTGCATTCAACGTTTTTTATCGGATATTTTTTTACTATCCATGCTGAACCACGAACATTAATAGTAATCAAAAATAACCGATAAAAAAACGCTGAATGCAAACGATATGAAGTTAGAACCTACAAAGTCTCATATTAGGTAAACGGACAGAAAGACACAGGACAAAAAGTCACAGGACATAAAGTCAAAAATTTGATAGGACAAAAAGTCACAAGACAAAAAGTCACAAATAATTTTTGACAATTGTTTGAATATATAAGAGAAAGATCTTGAAGTATTTTCTTTTTATTACATATATTCATTTTTAGTTTAGGAAATTGTTCATAAGACTTGATAAATGAAAATTTATAAAATTTGAATCATGCAAAGGATATATTTTTGGCACAATGAAGCCATTTAAGTACCAAGCCACTTTGACATATTGTTTTCACAACAATTATTTGATCATTATTGATATTTATTGAATATATCTTAATTACAAAGTTGCTTCATATATAATAGTTCAAGAAAAATCAAAAATTTTATTTTCTAAATAAGTGTTTTCTTGTTTAAAGAAAAATAATCTCAAAACTGAATTGTGACTTTTTGTCCTGTGACTTTTTGTCCGTGACTTTTTGTCCTGTGACTTTCTGTCCTGCATTCTCATATAGGTCTAACCGGTCTACTCGATCCGAAACGTTCAGTCAATCAATTGGTAAATACAAGTCATATACAAACCAGACTAAATATCATAGTATAACAAATCTAAATAAGATTACTGAGTTTTGAAATATGACCGTAAAATCTTCTTTTCTGATTGTCATTTTATAATGGATTAACTCTCCTTTTCGATAGTTACTAAAATATGAGACATATATATGTGTCTATATGTCTCTGCTAAAATAAACGTTGATTCTGTGTGTAAGTAACACCAATGAACTATTACTAGACCATTATTATGTCATTAATATAGAAAGAATAACACTGACCTTCCAAATAAATTCCATCATGGTAGGAGTTGAAAAATTAGAACAATAGAAAAAAAAACCGCCAAAACATAGTAACCAATTAAAACGGAGATTGTAATGGCAGTGTGGTCTAATGAACCGATGAACCATTAAACCTACGATCAGAGGTGTTTTGTCGCAAAATATTAAATGCTGCCGGATTCGCAGGTTGTTGTGCAACTTCTGTACTTTTATTTCAATGAACTCTCTGTCTGATAAACGTCGCCAGTAAACCGACATTTGGTTCTGCAATTATTTATTTCCCTCGAAAATGATAATGGATTTTTTTCCACATTATCAAAGTAAATCAAAATTTAAATAATTTGAATTCAATTTCTTCAACTTGCCAGGTCAATATTATTAAAGAAACATTCACAGCTCACGCAGGAGTATCAAAACACCCACAATGTGTGTGCATTTCTCATTTAAATGGTAATCTCACTAATCTGTAACCATAAACTTTAACATGATGCAATTCAGGCTAAGGACAGGATGTCCTGATTGATGCACACAAACTATTGTAACAGGGCAACTAAATGATTTCTGGTTCTTGCGTGTTTAAATTAAAATATTTTGATTATTACCTTTGCTTGCCGGTTTAATCTGTTTCAGAAAAGATACTAAATATAACTACACCCTCATAAGAGTAAGGGTTTATACATGTAAATAATTGTTATCCGACCAATGCTCCGATTTTGTGTACCTTTAGTAGTTCAATCTTTGCTTAAAAGAGGGGCGAAAGATACCAGAGGGACATTCAAACTCATAAATCGAAAATAAACTGACAACGCCATGGCTAAAAAAAAAAAAAAGACAAACAGACAAACAGTAGTACACAAAACACAACATAGAAAACTGAAGACTAAGCAACACGAACCCGACCAAAAACTGGGGATGATCTCAGGTGCTCAAGGGCGGATCCAGCCATTTCTGAAAGGGGGTCCCAACCTAGGATAAGGGGGGGGGGGGGGTGGGGTCCAACTATATGTCCCCATTCAAATGCATTGATCGTCCAAAAAAGGGGGTTCCAACACCCGGAACCCTCCCCCTGGATCCGCCACAGGGTGCTCCGGAAGGGAAGGCAGATCCTGCTTCACATGTGGCACCCGTCGTGTTGCTCATGTTACTACAAACCCGGTAAATAGTCTAATAAAGGGAACGGGATTGTAGTTCCGACAGTAGGAACATATCCGCTATCATCTGTGAAACGGTTATTCCATAATGGTCAACTAACTCGTGATGTCGTCCGTAAAATTTATGAAGGGATGATTTCAACTTCACCATTTGGAACTCTTGGTTTAATAGCTTCATTGTGAGCAGCAACCCTCCATCAAGGAAATCATGATAGGAAATACAAGCCCGGGAATTTCGTATCAATTTGGAGATATATACTCCGTATTCAGGCGCTGCGGGAATGTTTCTACATAGAAATGGAAAGTTCACAATTGGGAAACTGAAATCATCTCTTTTTGTAGTAAAGTTTTGTTTTCAACCGACCCTCATTGTCAATTTCTAGATGTCAGTCAATTTGGTACAGTTGGTCCCCATGGGAATGCCGATAGTTTGTAGAAAACACGTCCTCCAAACGTAACAAATATGTTGTCAATCAAGAAATCAAGCATCTTGATAATGTCAGTATCAGAGAATTGTTTGTTTGAATCAGAGTGATTTTTTACAGAGTAGGATTTATCCCTCCCTAAGACAAGATACTTGTATCTATGTTGGCCATTCTTTTTTATGAAACAAAGCAATACCAACTCTTTCAATTTGTCTTTTAGTTTGGAATGGGGAATACTTGTGTAAAGTGTAGAAAAGTCAAATATTTTAATACTGTTGAAAGATGAGAGTCTTAGATTGTATGTACTCTAAAAGATCTTTGAAATTTTTTAGTATCCACATCTGGATCACATCATAATAGCCCAATGTGTACTTCAAGTTTTATACGACCGCAAAAAAATTTTGCGGTCGTATATTGGTATGACGTTGGCGTCCTCGTCGTCGTCGTCGTCCGGCGTCGTCGTCGTCGTCCAGGCGTCGTCGTCCGGCGTCGTCGTCGTCGGCGTCGTCGTCGTCGTCCGAAGACACATTGGTTTTCGCACTCTAACTTTAGTTTAAGTAAATGGATCTCTATGAAATTTTACCATAAGGTTCAATACCACAAAAGGAAGGTGGGGATTGATTTGGGGGGTTATGGTACCAACAGTTAAGGGGCCAAAAAGGGGCCAAAAAATAAGCATTTTTGTAACTTCCAGACATAACTTGTGTGTTAGTGTATGGATCTCTCTGACATTGTACCACAAGGTTCCATATCACAAAGGGAATGCTGGGATTATTTTGGGGGTAATTGCCTCCAAATTTTAGGAATAAGGGGCCAAAAAGGGGCAAAAAACAAGCATGTTTCTAGTTTCATGACAATAACTTGTGTGTAAGTGTATGGATCTCTCTGACGTTGTACCACAAGGTTCCATATCACAAAGGGAAAGCTGGGATTGATTTTGGGGGTTATTGCCTCCAAATTTTAGGAATTAGGGGCAAAAAAGGGGCAAAAAACAAGCATTTTTCTAGTTTCATGACAATAACTTGTGTGTAAGTGTATGGATCTTTATGAAATTGTACTACAAGGTTCCATATCACAAAGGAAAAGCTTTAATTGAGTTTGGGGGTAATTGCCCAAAACGTTTAGGAATAAGGGGCCAAAAATAAGCATTTTTTTAGTTTCCAGACAATAACTTGTGTTCAAGTGTATGGATCTCTCTGAAATTGTACTGCAAGGTACCATACCACAAAGGGAAGGCTGGGATTGATTTTGGGGGTAATTGCCTCAAAATTTTAGGAATAAGGGGCATAAAGGGGCAGAGAACAAGCATTTTTCTAGTTTCAGGACAATAACTTGTGTGTAAGTGTATGGATCTTTATGAAATTGTACTGCAAGGTTCCATATCACAAAGGGAAAGCTTGGTTTGAGTTTGGGGGTAATTGCCCTAAACGTTTAGGAATTTGGGGCCAAAAAGGGGCCAAAAACAAGCATTTTCTAGTTTCCAGACAATAACTTGTGTTCAAGTGTATGGATCTCTCTGAAATTGTACTGCAAGGTACCATACCACAAAGGGAAGGCTGGGATTGAGTTTGGGGGTGATGAATCATAAGGGGGTTCAAAAAATTTGGGGGAGGGATTTTTTTTTGTTTTTTTCTTTAAAATTTTCCATTTTGAATTGGTTATTTCTGATTTATATATAAAAGCAAATAATAATGATATGGTTTGAATAGGTAAATTAAAAAATTTTAAGTTCTTAGACCACATTCATTCTGTGTCAGAAACCTATGCTGTGTCAAATATTTAATTACAATCTAAATTCAGTGCTGTATCAAGCTTGAATGTTGTGTCCATACTTGCCCCAACTGTTCAGGGTTCGACCTCTGCGGTCGTATCAAGCTGCGCCCCAGCGGAGCATTTTATTAGCTTATAAATCTCTAACGAGAACACTTTATAATAAACGCCAAATTGCGGTCGTATCAAGCTGCGCCCCAGCGGAGCATTTTATTAGCTTATAAATCTCTAACGAGAACACTTTATAATAAACGCCAAAAGAAAACCTAAACCACTGAATTTTGATCGATTTTTTCAAATTTTGGTACAAATCCAGGATAGTTTAAGAAAGTTATTAAAATTTGAAAAAATTTAACCACAGAGTGAATGTAATGTTAACTGGTAGAAAAACTAAGTCCATTTATGTGTAAAATACGGATAAACAGGTTTTTTTTTACAAAATTTACTTTTGGATACTATCTTATAATCATAAACAAGCTTCTGTCCAAGTTTGGTAGAAATCCAGGATAGTTTAAGAAAGCTATTAAAATTTGAAAAACTTTAACAACAGAGTGAATATTTGTGGACGCCGCCGACGGATTGTAGGATCGCTATGTCTCGCTTTCGCGACAAAAGTCGGAGGCTGGACAAAAATAAAGTAGAACATGAAAAGTGGAACATATTATATGGTATGTATAAGAGGAAAAGAAAGGGCTCCAGAAGGGTTCTCCTACGATCAAATGGTCACTTTTAGAAATGTCTTCAGTTAACCAGGTCATTTTAGGCAAACTATACAGTTCTAAACTGATCTGGACCCGGTTTTAAACATTTCTAATGTATCAAACAAAGCAAAGTAAAGCAAAACGGGCATAACTCGGGAACGGTTAAAGTGACGCCACCAAAATTCAAACTTGATCTTTGTTTTGTGGTAATAAGCATTGTGCATATGTTTCATAACATTTGGTTGAGGCATTTATATTAAACTAAAGTTAGAAAATGGAAACCAACTTTGGGACGTACTAACATACAGACGGACAAGAGTAAAACTTACTCCCCCCCCCACACATTATGGCGCGGGTATAAAAAGTGTTTATTTTAGTTATTGCCCTTGTACCTTGGATAGATAAAATATGTGCAACGCGGGGGACATTGGAAATTTGTTTCACATGGGACACTGAAGTCTTGTTTTCATGAACGATTATAGCTTGATGGGACTAGAAAGCATTGACAATTACAAAGCAAAATAAGATTGGTATGTACTGCGCTGTTTCTAGTGTTGCAGTTAAGAAATAAGACCATGTTTGTAATTTGTCTTCGAATTAACTGTTAATCTTGTATTTATGCACACCTTCTCAGCTTAGTGGTTTGATTCCAAATCTCGTGATTAATTCACAGTCTTTTATAAAGGTTACAGAGACGGATACACGAGGAAATAGGGGGCGTAATTCATTAAAAGGTTAAAAAACCGTTGAGAGTAGCAAAACGATTTTTTTGAAGATTCCACCTAAAAAATATAATACATTTTTATACGCCCGTTTACGGGACGTATTATGGTATACCGTTGTACGTCCGTCCGTCGTCAACATGTCGGACATTAACTGAAAAACGCTTTAACCAATTTGCATAAAACTTTGGGGAATTGTTTATATCTATTGACATGACCTCCCTTTCGTTTTTTTATGAATTTAGATTTTACGTTTCCGAGTTATGGTATTTTATTCATTAAAAAAGGAGGATTTTCCAGTTTGTTCCCAACTCGATCCGAAAACTCAAAAAGAACTCAAAAATGCTTTCACCAATTTGCAAGAAATTTTTGTGAATTGTTTATATTTATTGACGTGAGCTCCCTTTCGAAATTGATAAATTTTAGATTTAACGTTTCCAAATTACGGGGTTTTATTCATTTAAAAAAGGGGGATTTTCCAGTTTTCGGACAAGGAACTCAAAAATGCTTTCAGCAGGTCTAATGAAACTTTGGTGAATAGTTTATATCTATTGACGTAAGCTCCATTTCAAATTTTGTAAATTTTAGGTTTTACGTTTCCGAGTTATGGGGTTTTATTGATTAGAAAAGGGGGATTTTCCAGTATTCGGACAATAACCCAAAAATGCTTTCAGCAGTTCTCATGAAACTTTGGTGAATTGTTTATATCTAATGACGTAAGCTCCCTTTCGATTTTTATAAATTTCTGATATGATATAGAGAAGTAATTGAACTTTATTCTTTGAAAATGCGACGGGCGTATCATGCGCTCATGGCGCAGCTGTTTATTACATGTTTACTATCAAAAAGTAGAGGAGGGGGATTTCAGAAGGATTAAATTTGTGCTTCAGCTAAATCCCCTCCTCCCCGCAAAAAAAGATCTAATGTTACCGGAATCGTGAAATTATGAGATATATGTAGTACGGTGCATAGTAAAGAATGATGCATAATTTATACAATTATTTTGCACAATCACTTTGTTTTGATATATTTTTGCCGTTAATAGCATAATTATTTTACCGGGATTAGCACAATTCCAACTTAGCAGATGTATCTATTCGTCTATCTCGGAGATCTAGAATTCCAATTGCGGATTAGTAGTACAACACGAGTTATTAATGATATGTTAACAGCTATATATTAACAGAATTCAATTACTGGACTTCTTATATCAACGATCTCCAATTGACTATTCATTTTTTTAAGTCCCCACCAACTTAATATATGTTCAACTTCAATTGGTCTGTCCGTCTATCCGTCCGTCCATCACACTTCAGTTTCAGTTTGGAAATGCTTTGACCAAATTATTCTATTTTGGTTTGTAAGCTTATTATTTATATAATGTTACAGGTCAAGTTTGTGATTTTTGCTGGTGGGATAACATCTCAGGCTTGTGTGTGCCCTGAGAAATTCAGAATTTTCTTACAACTGGACAATATTTATCTTGCCTTACTATAAGCCCGGTTGGGCTATTGCAATCCCATTAAGTTCTTCATTTGTTAAACTTTCATAAATTGTTTATCAGATGAAGAACTCTGAATAAAATCCGACCAAACGTTGCAGCAATTATCTTTTCAAGGATCTACATGTATGAAAAATAAAAAAAAACAACATACCCTCCCCCTTTTTCCCCAACCCTCCAATCCTAATGTTACATTATATATTACATTTGTTGAACCTTCTGAAAAGGAACAGACAAGATGGTGAGTGAAGCAAAGCATGCAATCATATTCCAATTCGAAAATAAACACCCTCTATATATGTATTTTCTTACATAAATTTCCATTTATACATCTTTTGAATGGATGTTGCTATGGATTATATTTGTTTCCATGGTAACTATTGAGGTCAGCAACACTTAACGATGGTTTTTAAGAGTTCGCGTATGCTTTTATGTATTTTCTTTTCGGTTATGAAGCAATTAAGGACATTTAAGTTCTTAAACTGCAATATTCTGCAAATAATAACTCCGTTTCCAAGGAAAAAATGGGTTGCTATGGTGATAAAATTAAAAAGAGTCCCACGCAATTTTCTATTTAAATTGGTAAAGAAGTATTCAAACTTCATAACTAAAATGCTAACTATGCTGTCCACGTTTGCACTTTTCTTAAAAACACACGACAAAATTTGATAATTTCACAAAAATCCACAATTCAAAAAAGTTGAAAGTATGCATTTTTTGGTAAATTTTTACAAAAAAAAAATCACAAATTTGGTTGACATGCAATCTTAACTGAAATGAAGCTTAAACCAAGTTATATCAATGGTATATATGAAAATTTATGAAAAAAGTTTGATTCTATTCATGATCAGACTCTGAATTGTAGTGATTTAGCTAATTTTTGAAAGATTTTACCACGCTTCACTACCAAAAAATAGAGTGTCTGTTACATGGCAACCACTCTTTTTTCCACTCAAATTTAATTTTTGAGCATTATTCATTTACTGCCTCTACCAGGCAATTTATAGAAAAAATCTGAAACCCTCATATATCACACTCTGTCTGGTTCT